AGAGAGAGAGAGAGAGAGAGAGAGAGAGAGAGAGAGAGAGAGAGAGAATAACAATGGTATTTTAAAAAGCTCATTTCCTAGGATTTGATAAGTGTAGAGGTAGATTACAGTTAGTAATAGCCACATGGAGGCACTAGAGTGACGGCTCATTGGTGAAGAGAGGTCACTCCCCAGATTCAGCTCTGAATGCTTACATTAGGCGCCTCACAATCACTTATCATTCCAACTGCAGGGAAATCCAGTGCTTCTGGCTTCCCTGGGCAGACGCGCACGTTGAACGCGAGCATGCGCGCGCACACACACACACACACATACATACACACACACATCTAAAAATAAAATAAATCTTTAAAAGTATAACCATGCATAAAAGACAATGAAGCATTTATGCTCATAATTTTATTTCCATATTTAACACTACAAAATTACCTTGGTAAAATACACGTGTGCTGTGCTGTGCATTTCTGTGTCTCCCGAGACTGTCTTAGGGATTCCGTTTGAGTGAAGCCGTCTGCGTCCTAATCCCACTTTCCCACCTGACTAGCCCTAGCCTGTTTTCTTCTCCCCGTCCCCCAGTGTGCTGCAGACAGGCAAAGAAAGCATCAGAGATCTACTACACAGAGCTCTACACCAGACCCAGGGCCATGGGCCTTGGGAACACACCTGACGTCTTTGGTATTCGCTTGAGATAAATGATAAATGAAAAGCACTCAGCCTAGATGAAGCCACATTTTTTCCCCTGACCCCTATATGAGCCCCTGTTCTCTGACCCAAATCTCAGGGGTCTTCTTGTCTTGAGGCCACTTTTGATTACACTTCTGTCAGCAGAACTCCAACAAATTGCCCTTCGTGCAACCTTGGATCTGTGCCCCTTCCTCTGGTCTCATACCACTTCCTTTACACAGCAGTCAGTTCCTTTACAACAATTCCCCCGCCCCCAGCCCCGACCCCCATAAAAAAAGAAAATATTTCAGGAGGTTGCTTGTTTGTTACCGGCTGCTTAACCCCGAAATAATCACACAGAAACCATATTATTTGCAGTACTATATGGTCAATAGCTTGAGTGTATTTCTGGCTAACTCTTAAACTAACCCATCTCCATTAATCTGTATATCACCATGTGGCTGTGGCTTACCCGGTAAAGTTCCATCCCCAGCATCTGTCTCCAGTGGGGCCACAAGGTGTCTCCCTGACCTCGCCTTCTTTCTCTCAGCCTTCAGCTTAGTTTTCCATGCCTAACTCTATTCTGCCCTGTGCAGGCCCAACACAGTTTCTTTATTAACCAATGGTATTCAGAGCACACAGAGGGGAATCCCACATCAAGCAAAGAAAGACTATAAGTATAAGTAAAACTGTATGACCTTCTAGAAGGACCTAAAGGAAATTTACCGCGGTGACAGCTGAGTTGTTTCTATGCATGGGCACATTCCAGTGGCATGTTCTGTTTATGTATTCATCTCTCACCTGCAACAGTTGTGGGCAGCTTGGACTCAGCCACCCCACCATGCTTCATTTTTTATACTTGATAACTGTCTTTGTCAGGGTTTCTATTGCTGCAGGGAGACACCATGACCAAAAGCAAGTTGAAGAGAAAAGGGTTGATTTGGTTTACATTTCAGCATTGCTGTCCATCACTGAAGGCAGTCAGAACAGGAACTCAAACAGGGCAGGATCCTGGAGGCAGGAGCTGATGCATTAGCCATAGAGGAGTGCTGCTTGTTGGCTTTGTCCTTGTGGCTTGTTCATCCTGCTTTCTTATAGAACTAGGACCATCAGCCCAGGGAAGGCACCACCCACAATGTGCTGGGTCCTCTCCCATCAGTCACTAACTAAGAAAATTCCCTGCCCTCAACCTGACCCCATGCAGACATTTTCTCAAGTGAGATTCCCTCCTCTCAGATGACTTCAGCTTGTGTCCTTTTGGCATAAACCTATCCAGCACAGTGACCTAGCCATGGCTGACAAAACAAGGTACTTACAGTATGTCAGGACCCACAGGGTAGAAGGAGAGAACTGATTCTTCAAACATGCACAGTGGTACACACACACACACACACACACACACACACACACACACAATAAATGTAACTAATTTTCAAATTCTGTGTTTTCGAAGAGAGAATTTGGAAGGAGTAGACATTTTAATTACATAATAATTAATAGATAATTGAGGAAAACTAAAAGATCCTAAATCAGTACATCTTGACACTAATTGTGGTCGTGTGTATGTGTGTGCGCATGTGTGTGTCTGTGTGTGTGTGTATGTGTGTATGTGTGTGTGTGTGCTCACGCGTGCACGTGCGTGCGCATGCCTCCATTTGCTATGCAATGAAGAAATAGAATTCCAGTAAGAAGCTTGTCCAAACATGGCACAGTTAGGAACTGGAGTTCTAAGCCGGAGCTGAGACTGGAGTTGAACTCTGATAAACAGTCTCCTACTGATCAGGGATCAAAAGCCGGATCACAGCCAAGATAGGAGCCGGGGGTTACATCACTGTTTGTCGACATGCTTTTCACTACCTGGGATAAAACATCATGCCTAAACCAAGGCCTTTAGATAAACATGCTTTCTACACTGCTTGGGTTTCCTCAGCAGCTCCAGCAGCTGGAACGGCCTGTCTAGAAAGTCAGAATCAAACCCTGAGGTCAGAACATTTAAGGACAGTGATGACACCAGTACCAGGAGAACACCCAGTTCCTGGTTCAGTCACTAACAACTGATTTGGTAAGAGAAAACTTCAATTGCAAAAATACCTCCATCTCGAGAAGGGAGTAGGGGAGGAATGGGGAAAGCTCGGTGGACCGGGATGCGGGGGGAGGGAGGAAGGATGAATATGGGATCAGGGAAGAATATATTTCAACTAAGGGAGTCATTTTAGGAGACTTAATTATATATGGGATCCCAGATCCAAGGAGAGATCCCCAGATTGTTCTCTGGACAGAGGAGAGGGTACCTGAACTGGCCTTGGCCCATAACCATACTGATGAATATTTTGCTTATCACCATAGATCCTTCATCTGGCGATGGATGGAGATAGAGACAGAGACCCACATTGGAACACTGGACTTAACTCCCTAGGTCCAAACGAGAAGCAGAAGGAAAGAGAACGTGAGCAAAGAAGGCAAGACCAGAGGGAACCTTCATCTGAGGATGGATGGCGATAGAGACGGAGGCTCACATTGGAGCACCGGACTGAGCCCCCCCAAGGTCCAAATGAGAAGCAGAAGGAGGAAGAAAATGAAAAAGTAAATCAGGACCGCGAGGGGTGCGATCACCCACTGATACAAGGGGACAGATCTAATGAGAGTTCACCAAGGCCAGTTGGACTGGGACTGAACGAGCACATGATCCAACCAGATTCTCTGAATGTGGCCGGATTCTCTGAATGTGGCTGGCCCGGAGTCTTTCTGAAA